AGGTGGACCGAGATTCTAATTTAGTAGCCAAAATCTGCAGGACGAAGTAACAAGAGACTTGATATCAGTCAAAAGGGAGAGATCGGGGCACTGAGCAACACCAGAGAGGGTATCCACGTGGAAGAACACTAGAACTGCCTAAAGGTGATATAAAAGAAAAGATGTGTAGATATCATAGGAAAGAAGTGGCAAGACAAGCAATCGCTCATTATGGACATCTGAAAATTGATAGTTGAAAAGAGGATATGCACAATATGAACAAGGGCAACTATGAACAACTAAAACAGATTGTTAGTATAATTTACAACACAGAACAAAGGAGTCCAGAAAAGTATTGGGTAAAAATTAAAGACTCTTTGGTGGCACTCTGGTAACTGAAGCAGAATAGGTTGCATGTATGAGAGACCCCACAACACTGTATCAGATAATCAGAAGCTATCCAGGAAGGGTCAATATAAATGAAGCCAGTGCAAGGTAGTAGAAGAAACGCAGTTAACAAATAGGTTGAAGAAAGGGAATGCTGGGCCAGTTACTTAAAATGACTCTTCAGTCGACTTCTAGCTGCCATTCGCCCAGATTGCCACAACATTTATAGAGCTACAAGTGAAAACCGACCATTTGAAAAAGCAAAGGTTCTGAAGACCATAGAGCCACTAAAGGCTGGGGAAGCAGCAGGAACAAATAGAGCCTTCCAAAAAGCACAGAAAATTGGTTCAGGGACCTTATTACTCGTTCGAATCCACGTAAAATAATAAGCCACATCATCCTGAGGAGACTAAGGGATACATTGAACAGAAGAATAAGTTGACGAAGAGTCCTGCTTCAGGAGAAACAAAATTATTCGCGGACCAAATCACAACACTATGCGTCATTACTGAATGCAGACTAGAATGATGGTGAACTCTGTACCTCACTTCTGTCAACTCTGAAAAGGCTTCGAAAGTGCTTGCCATGAATTAGTCTGGAAATTTCTTCAGCATTACACAGTACAGAGCCACAAACATCTATAAAACTCATCAAGTAGCTAAATAATCATATCCCAAACTCAGAAAAGCGTTGAAGTGAAGAGTGGAATAAGAAAAGGCTGCATACCACCACAAATGATCTTCCTGATTTCGGGGGAGCAGATCACACGACAGAATGTTGAGAATGAGAAGACGGGAATATGTTGAAGTAATCTGAGAAGGCTAGAATATCTATATTCCATGGATGATTCATGTCTCATATCGCTTAAACTTGAAGATATACAAACGAAAGATTGCAAGATGTCAGAAGAGGTAGAGAAGGTTGAACTTTGTGTAGACACACAGAAGACAGACGTGGTAAAAATACCAGACAACCAACAAAGAACACTAACCACTGTGAACAAGAAATATCTTAAGGAATTCGTCCTTTTCATTTACCTCAACAGCCAACATTGCTTAAACTGCAAACATTGGAGAGGAGGATATAAAGCAAGAATCCTATCGAGGAGGTAAGGCGGGCATTTGTCTACAGCATTTAACAGAATGCCTAAGATATGAATTTTAAGAGGTGATATCAAGTAAGGCTTTTGGAGTGGTTCAGGGATACAGTGAACTCATCACTGATAGCGTTTCCAGCAGATTGCAAACTGTCATGAACAGCTGTCTTCTCTGGCTTGATACTGATAATCAGATAAACAGCCTGAAGACTCGAGCAACAAAGAATTCTGGTAGGCAGAAAGTGAGAGAAGAATTTATTACCCATCAAATATGCAGGAGGAAATGGAGATAGACTTGAAATGTGCTAGAAAGACATTCATGCCAGACACTTGAAACCAGACAAAGAGTGAAGGATTAAGGGTGGGTTGCAGGGCAACATACTGGACATTACATGAAGAGAAAATGAAACATTTCAAGCTGTTGCTGAACCAGCTGAAGATGATAGCACGATACCAAGTTCAGTGTAGACATGTCTCTGAAGCCCTTTTTCGCATTCGCATTGCAAGGAAATAATTATCACAATACTTCAAATTTCGATTAAATATATTCTCCAAATTAGAAATGCAATTCAACAAACCCTATCATAAATCATTCCATGCCTGCCATTGTGATCTGTAAGCAAAATATTTAAGCTTGAGTTTCCCATATCTTCTTTATGAGACCTCCTGATAAACTTTCATCAGTTGATTATAATTTTAGACCATAATCCTGATGGCAACAAAATATTCAGTGCATGGGATTCAGCAATTATCCCATCATAATTCAGGGGTGAAAAGTTCATATTCTATTTATTGAATAAACGGATACATATATATATATATATATATATATATATATATATATACATGATAAAAATCGTAAAAATTACTTTGGTAAAAATCTCGATAAATATCTTTAGCAGGAAATCACTTCTAAAGTTAATAAAACTTTGCACAGAAAAGTGTTTGTTATACATTTACACATATGTTTATTTTTGCAACAGTTGAAGAAACGATCCAAAAATGAGTTATAGAAAAGGAGAGAGTATGATAGATTAAGATACTGTCATCATAGTTTTGCTGATAAAACAGTAGTCCTAAGGGCGATAAAATCACACTATAAAACTTGCTTGAATAGATAAAAATTTTAAAATAGGTGGCTATAATATTTTCCTAATTAGATCCAAATGTCCGCTTAAAGTTATGCATTTGTTTAGAAGTATCTCATTAGAGTAAAAGACAGATTGTCAGTTGACTGGTGAGATGATCTCCAACTTAAACTTGATGCTTAAAATAAACTAAAGAAATTGTTTTCATAAGCCGGGTACTTTAAAAATGGAGTTCAAAAAATGTCTTTAACTCCTCATAGTTACACTGTAATGTAGTCGAATGATCACAGCATATAAAACGATTTTATTGTTTTAGTGATTATTGAAATAGAGACAGAGAGAGCAGAATAGGATTTTACATAAAAATCCAGCAATCTTTAGTCAGTTCCGCTCCAGACTTATGATGAATGAATACCCCTAACTGGAGTAAAGTGACTTTATAGCAGTTTCGATATGTTAACTTTCCAAGGGGAAAGCTGAGTGCTCGGTGAAATATCACTTCACAAAGATCTACTTTTCTTTTGTATTGAAATAGTCATTTAGTTAACACTTTGTATATATATATATATATATATATATATATATCCTTTATCGACATTAACCTGTTATGAAAGCGTTGTAGTCTAAAATAACCGTATGTGTAGTTTAATATGAAAGAAGAGAGCATTGTTTAACCAAAAGTACCTTTTATGAATTATTACCATTGCCGAACAACTAATTACTCATAAAATGTTTGCGAAAAATGTCACTAAGAATCAGATGTTATCAACCATCGATTAAAGATTTCGAGGCGAAAAATGAACGAGTAAAAACGGTTCATTGCGGAGATACGATTCCGCAAACATAAACGTTTCTCAGAAGCAAACAAAATATTCAAAGTCGAAAAGCTAAAATATTGATAAAGTTTTAACTTTCTTGTCGGGTTTTAACAATGAAAGACAAAATAATTTGGCATAGGGAGCACTATTTATTCACATAAATAGGTCCTAAAACTAAAAAAAGTGGTAGCAGAATGTATTGATAGACGTGGAACAGAAGTTTAATAATTAATAATGAAAATCCTTCCCGCCATATCTTACGGAACTAATCTGACGACATTTCGATTGACTAAGTAGCACCAAGGAAAATCTAAGACAGGAAGTGAAGAAGGCTTGAAACTTAATAATTACTCGGATAAATTAGTCAGGAAATATGTAAGGAAATGTTAAAATAAAATAAATAATGATAGTAGCGATAGGGACAATAATAATAATGATAACAATAAAAACGATAATAATAGTAATAATAATAGTGATAATTGTAATAATATTAACGACAACACCAACAATAGGGAATCTAAATCATCAATAGTAATTCCATACAAGAAAGGAACGTCTGAAACCTTACGCAGAATTCTTGACAAGGCAGGAATAAAAGTGGCATTCAAACCCACAAACTCAGTAATAAACAAGCTTAGAAACAAGAAACAAACAAACAGGCTCCACAGGATCCTTTAAAACAAAACAATTTAGTTTATCTAATACCCTGTTGTAATGATTGTCAGGTCAAATACATAGGTCAAACTAGTAGAACAGTGGCAGTCAGACTAGCCGAACATAAAGACCTAGGAAAACCTAGATTGTTTGAACCAAATAAGATAAGAAATCTAGAGAATAGTTCAGCTATAGCACTACATGCGGTTACACATAACCATACAATAGGATGGGATAGGATGACAGTTTTAAAATCTAATGTCACAGGGTATAGGGAGAGATTGATAACAGAAGCTTTGTTTATCGAATCAACCGCAGATACATGTAATAGGAATGATTCAACACCTGTCCAGCCAGATATCTGGAAAATCCTACTACACCAACGACGACAAATAGGCAAGAACAAAGAAAACTATAAAACTCAAGTTTCATAGTTGTGTGCTTACAATTGATGTAATTATGAACAATAAATTTTGTTCGAAACCTTGTCATCCAGTAAATAATATTGTTTCACTGTGTGATACATCTAATAAACAAACTAATATGGGACATTTCGATTGCTTTTAGCTTTTTGAATATAATATGTTATATATATAATATATAATTAAAAGAATATGGCAGTGGAATGTATGCTTTTTGATACGACATAAGCTCGTACATTTATGCATTTATGACTTCCCATAGATAGCTTGGTAAACAATTTTTTGTTAAAAAACTTCAATAAAAATAAATTTCCATTTCTCTATCATTCTTTAAACTTCATATTTAGCCTTCATTTTAACCTTATCTCATGGCTATAAAAACAATATGCAGGTATAATTTTTTTTTTATTCATTCGTTTAGTCTAATTTGGAACTGTTCACTCAACAATGCAAAATCTATATATCATGCATAAATGAATACAAGAATCATTGAAGCTGATCGACATTCCTACATTGACCTCTTTTTTCTGTCAATCTCTTTTTATTTTCTTTACAGGTAATCTGAGCGAAAAGTATCAAAATATATTTCAGCGTAATCCTCTCTTTGTTGGAATGAGAGTCCCACTGGCAAGGGAAATTGACCCGTTGGATAAAAGATTAGCTAAGGTTTCCAAATTAACTCTTGGATTTATAAAAGTGAATATAAATAAAATTTTACTAAATGACAAGTGTATTAACTATTTTATATTTTTTGTGAAAATTTTAAAACAAGTTCACGTATATCACTTGGTTAGAATGAAGGTTGACCAGTAAATGTGATAGAAGTGGTGTTCTTGAATTCTGATAACAACTACAGTTTAAAAGTATACGGCAAAATGTAATTTGACATACAAGCAATATGACACAGTTACACAATGTGCATATGCTGTGTTATGAGGTATAGTAACATTCTAAAGAAATCCACTGCATTAAATCACTAAGTTAAGAGGCAGGATACCGCTGTACACTAGGTCGTTTCTTGTCCTAATTTTAAAAATATCTGAAATATGAATATATTTTCGTAAAATTTAATTTACTGAACTTTACTATGGTATGTTATCGAGTTAGCATGAATAGTTTCATTTCATTTCAAATGGTTGTGTTATGAAACCCTAGATAACATGATATTAATTGACATTAATTGTGAGTAGATATATTTTAAAGTATTATAAATTTCATCTGTGTAAGGTGGATACCTTGTACTGTAATGCTCATATATCATGTTCTGGATCTGTTTTTGCTAAGTGTAACTTGACCGTCGAATTACTTGCAGGATGAACTATTCATACCCAAATTGATCTTTTATGAGGAAAATTGACAAAAACTGCGTTTTATTGTTCTGCTGTGTCTACATGAAAAGTTTGTTAACTGTGTTTAATAAACGTAACAGTCTTAGATAAAGTCACAAGCGGACATCTCATTAAACGAATAAGACCAAATCAAAATCAGTCAGAGGTCTATTCCAGTATGCTTTTGCCGTCACATTCCCATGTGCGTAATACTGTGTTATGAGGCAACAATCTTCACTACTTAAGAGTGTAGAATGATGTTTTAGTAATATTAAAATACTACATATTTCTATCGCTTTACAAATCTTAACAGCCAAAAGTGAATACTGTTTTCAACGTCCTACGTTAATATATCTTTTCGTGTTAAGAAAAGCATTTTCTTCAGTTTGATTGCTTTTTACCTTTTTATTGTATTTCTTTATCATCCATTCTAAATGGATGGATATAATCCATTACATTTTTCTCAAGTGTTCTGATTTTACTGTTGCTACTTATGTTTACGACATATTACAACCGATCAGCTGTTCAGCATTTTATAACGATTACTTTAACGACTGATCTCTTTCTTCTTATTAGTGTTTCCCTCCACGATATAATTAATATATATGATATCAACCTTTTGCATTTTTTCTCTACATTTTGTATTTCATTCAGATTTGCCTTCGAATTGACGCTAACGATAGGCCTACATCATCTGCTCTCCTTCGAAATGAATATTTTACTCGAGATAACTTTTCAACAGTGTTTTTAGAAGAATTGAAAAACTTGATTAAAAATGAAGCCGAACAAAATACTTCTTCTACTTCTAATTGTTCTTCTACTAATGTTGCTTCTGATATTAACAAAAATATGACCAATATGAACAATCCAATAAGAAATAAGAATGATTCTGTAAACAATAATCTCAGTACGATCACTAACAATAATACTAATAATTCAGTAAACGCGGTGGGTACTACTTCTAAATTGTATAGTACAGATACATCCAGTACAAAGAAGACAAATATGGAGAAATTAACAGAAGATGTAACACTACTTCAACAGGCTCATCAAGAGACCAGTGAAATTAATGAAGTGAGTAGACTTTTTGTGTTTCATATTCAAATATAATAAATAAGAGAGAATAATTTTGTAGCTGCTTGACTATCAACTTAATGCATAAATCAGTTCTACTGAAGATAAGTGATAATTTTCCTTAATCGTTTTAAAGAATACTACTTATGTAGGATGATTAAATAAGGAATAAAATTATTTTGCTCAGTAGTCTGATTTCAGAATATCAAAGCACCAACTTCACTCACAAATACGGAAACTTAAAAACTGCAGAAACTGAATGTTTCTTTAAGGATAAAATTACAAGAAAAAGTATATATTGGCTATTGAACTGCATGATTGTAATTATTTCTGAGGAATCCAATCAGCGAAATATACCAACACAGAAAACTAAACTTCCTAGCGTTGTTAACAGTGCTGAAAATCTTATAATACACAGAGAAAATGTTGACATTTTGAAGAGGCAAACAAATGTTTGTCTTTTAAGTTTTTAAAGTTACATACAAAATTTAAGCACTGCTATTGTTACAACATAAACACGTCTCAGTTATCAAAACCATTCCATCATAACATGAAATCAGATAACTTTTCTTACTAGTGTTAGTTAGAGTTTGGTTATGTAGAACATATTTCTCATGTATCATTCTGTGAGACACAGCAATCCTACAACGATAACATTGTGTCGTTTAGATCTAGGTAGGCGAAGCAGTATTCGACAGCTACTGGCAGCAGTTAAAGTGTCAAAGCCAGTAAGATACTCGCTTTAGGAATGAAAAAAGCGTTGAATAAACATTCATATGTGAATCTATTGGGCTAATATTATGCATTACATTTTATGGTAACTTAGAAATCAACAATCAACAAAACGATTAAGTTGGGAATCCCAAAGTTTTGTCATAAATAATTCTTCTGGAGCACTTCAACTAATTTCGAATAGTTTCACCAAGTGTTTCCTGTCATAGATTTGCGTTACCGAATAGACCCTAGCCCTTACTTCTGACTTCTCTGATCAGCAGTCATTGATCTAAAAGACTTGTATCACTTCTGGTATGTAACCAGAGGGACGATATCAAACAAATCAAAATCCTTCATGAGTTTGAGTTATCTGCCATAATAATGTATGATTAACAAACTGTGAACGATAAGTCTTTGAATCAGTAAAAGGTTAGTTGAGACAAGTGGGATTTCTAAACTCTTTAAATCACATAGATACAAAGAGTATGAGAGGGAAGCAGTCTAAATTATAAGGATTGATGACGTGGAGAGAAAAATTAATTACGTAAATTCGTGGTTGTATAATTATTTCTGTCCATCTTATCCAACTTCTACAACTCCAGATTTATGGAATATCAGGATTCAAGCTATCCCTAGCTTTGTATATCGTCCAATATGCTGTCCCAAAATACGGAACAATAAGTTTGTGTCTATATACCTGATCATCTGTTCTTGTGTATATTTGTCGCATGCCTAACCGTTTCTTCTCTGAGTCTTCAATCATTTGCTTTGACGGTATCCGACTTCACTTCTTCCTCTTATCATCTTTTTACTATTTTGTAGTTGTTAATATTCATTTCCTCTGTTAATTTTGCACGGTAGCCAGCTTTTCAAGCAAGTTACATCACCTTGTTTAAAATAACACCGCTTTGCCTATATTTGTCTTACGGTTTTTTGTATAGAAAAATAAATCACTGAAAAGTTGTACTGACAACCCTTCTGGTAATCCGAATAGCCTTAGTAAAGCACAAACAGAGAACAGCGCACCTAAATTTCTCATGGTCGAACATGCCAAACCAAATCCCGACATCAACTCCAATTTAATACAAGAATATTCAGTAGTTGACGAAAATGTTGATCCACAAGTTCGTTTATGTCATTTGTGTCAATTTTACGCTTGATTATTTTATAAATGATTCATCTGATAACATTAATCCAGTATATGTTTTAAGGTTTATAAATTTCACAATACAGCTTCGACTGGCTAATTTTCTTTCTCATGTATGCATACGTTTATTAAGTAGTTCTGGTGGAATAAAAAGCTGAGAGATAAGCACGTACTACAATAAAATCCTTTTAACTAAGATAGTTAAAACTACATAGCAGTACTAACTGTGTGACACCAAAACCTTTCACAAACCTAAAATTAGGTTTAATTGAACTTCCACCCGGTAATGAATAAATATGTATCAGAAATTAAACATGAATATCTTGTATTTATTTACAATTGTTTGTGTTCCCTGAGCTGGTTGGTTTAATTGCTGAGCTTTTGTCGTCCTTCTGGTCAACATCTTCAGCGCAAGTTTTATTTATAAAAATTTATCAATTATTGTTAATAATTCATTATTAATAACAATAATAGTAGCAGCTTTACCCTGAACAGATGTTTATGTAATGTACAGAATTTTCAGCGGAGTTTATTGCGTGATATTTTTCTTCGTCCAGGATCTTCACAGAAAATAATAACTGACAGAAGATTGTGTGACACATTTCTATTTGACCTGAAGTGTAAACCAATCGATTATGATATCTCTTCTTTGTCTCCTTCGACAACTAAATGACCAGTTATAAAACGTTCAGGAGTACATTTTGAAAACCACAGACACAATTCACAAACAGTTATCTCATGTATCGAGTTACGTTGCCATCCAAGAGTATACCTTTCCTCATGTTTAGTAGCAACTTGCGAATCAGTAGATTGTAAATATTTTAAATACTCGCCAGAGTAAGTAATACTATTAGAAGTCATATTTCATTAGATTTAAACAAAGTTAGCGAGAAAAATTATGGACTTTCTTTTCAGTCCAACTTTTAAGCAAGCCGTCTAGTTCTGTGATGTGAACTTATAAAATATCCGAATCCAAGTGGAAAAAGTTGTCCAACATTCTGTGTTTTTTGCTGACTGTCCAACAGTTATTGATTTGTGATGCAAACTATTTTTAAAAGCTGTTTTGTATAGTTTGTTATAAAAAGGTCAAAGCTCGACACAAACTCCTGAAGTATCTTTTATTCATATATATATATATATATATATATATATATATATATATATATATGCAAATATGATTTCCATTTGTTTGCAGTTTTAAGGCATCTAGTGTTACTTTTAATTCCGTTAAAAATATTGCATTCCCCAAGTGGTGATCATTGCAGCCATATTGTTCTGCATGTTATTGTCTAAGTCAATTGATCAGTTATTCCATGTTGTTAGTAAACTAAGTGATATGGCGTTACTGAGCCCTATCGTGCATTATAAGATGGAATTGGTCGAAAGCACTGATTTTTATCTACTTTTTACAACCTAGGGTTTGATCAAGTATCATGATGTGTTCCTGCTAATATATTTTACAATTCTGAGATATGCAGTACATTCATGAGGTCGACGTTTGGTCACTATGTATTTGTCTTATTCTTTTAGATGGGAAATTCGTATCAATACTATTGAATCAAATATCTCCCAAAAAATAATAATAAGCGTAAGATTTACGTAAAACATTTATTCAGATTCCCTAAAACGCGTTTGTCCTCATCATTTTTAGTCTTGTTACAAATACGTCTTTAGAATGAATTCGGTGAGAACCATTTCTCTGAAAAAAATGTTACAATAAGCTAAATAAATTACCTTAAAAAATCTTATTTCAACTAGTCCTTTACTACTGTCCCTTGAATGTGTCAATAACATTACATCATTGTTTCTGCTTTTCAGTTAGGAAGTTTAAGTTATTTAGATCACACGTTAAGTTCAAACTGCCACACGAACACATTACAACTATTCAAAAGTATTTACTCGGTGATTCATCCCTCACCTGCGTTAGAACTATACAATGAGTGCTGAATTTTAAACAAAGTGTTGACGTAAAAAAATGTTTCGGCTATTATTTTTCTGAGTTTCGATGCCAGTAAATCAGTGGCCATATATATATACCACCTCAATTCCCTAAGTTTTTACGCCATCGATTACTAAGCATAGCTGAGGCAGTCTCCATAAAAAGTTTTCAGCCCACTCTTTGTGTTCAGTAAGAGTTTGTCCAATCCCTCCATTGCCTATGTCCTTCAACCCCCTCCCATCCAGTGACACTGAATAACTGTAAATACTATATTTACTTGCACTGCTAACTCTATTATTAATATCATAATGTGTTATAATAGCATATTTTAATCTCATTTTCACAATTTATTATATACTAATGACGAATTTGCTTGCTGAAATCATGTTCTTAAATTATCTTAATGTGAATTTTTAAATTAGAGAAAAAATCGCACTTATGTAATATTTCTTTCTCCTAAAACTTCCTGATTGAGGTAGACTGGATAATGCGACAGACAACGAACAATGAGGAAACAGGCATAAAATAGATACACACAAAAACTTGGAGGATCTAGACTTCGCCGATGATATATGTCTGATTGCCCACAAACTGGATGATATGCAAGTGAAAAGCAACAAGCTGGCAGAAGAAGCATCAAAGATAGGACTTCAAGTAAACATAGATAAAACAGAGGTGATGAAGATTCTTGGCCAACACCAACAACAACAGTCAGCATAAATGGGAGGAACCTGAAAGAAACAACCTCCTTCACCTACCTGGGAAGCATCTTTTCAACTACAGGCGGAACTGACGAGGATATCAAAGCCAGAATCGGAAAAGCGAGACAAGCTTTCACTACCCTTAAGTCTGTGTGGAAGTCAACATCACTCAGCATCAAAAATAAGATCCGGATTTTCAACTCCAATGTGTAGTTAGTGCTACTTTACGGATCAGAGACTTGCACTGCGCGTCATATAGAGCATCTCAAACAAACTTCAGACCTTCATTAACAGTTGTCTTCGCTGAATACTCAAGATCAGATGGCCAGAAAAGATCAGCGACAGAGATCTCTGGGAGCGAACCAACCCAGCAGGAACCGATTGCGAAACAAATAGGCAGGAAGAAATGGAGATGGATTGGCTGGCCATACACTGAGGAAACCATCAAGTGACATCACTAGACAAGCCATCGCTCGAGTGGAACCCGAAAGGGAAGCGGCGAGTTGGTCGTCAGTGGAAGGGTGACTTGGAGGAGGTCATGTGAGGAGGAGATGAAAGCATGTGGTCAGACTTGGAGTGGAGTGAGAAAATTGGCAGAAAACAGAAGGCAATGGAGTCGCGCAGCTGAAGCCCTATGTTCCTCTAGGAATTAAAGGATACAATAATAATAATAAAACTTCAGGTATCAGTTGTTGTATTATACATACATATCTCGTCTCATCTGTATTACAGTAGACATTTTGTCCATTCCTTCGAGTTCCTAGCGGAACACAGGGTTTCAAGCATTGATCTGTAAAGTTTCAGTAGTGACAGTTTATTTGCTTTTAATGGTGCACGATTTCTAGCCTCACACCTGACATTCCTTCTTTGCTGGACATGGAACCACTTAGGTGTGTTTCGGCCGGGAGTCGAACCCAGACCACATTTGTGTGGCTGGCGAGTATTTTATCAGTGAATCATCGACGCATAGTAAAATCTTAGGTGTGTCGAAGTGATGAACTGATGAAACTTTTTTGATATTTGCAATGAATTTCCAAAAAAATAAATATTCTTCTAATTCAAAACGTTTTATTTTATTTATGGTTAAATCCTTTATAATCATCTTTCAGTTCTACTCTGAACTTCGCTCTGGCATAAATTTCCTTTCATTACCCTGTAATGAGATTTTCTGACATGCTGCACCATTAAAATTTTATGACATAGTAATCACCAGTCTTCTCTCTCAAAACGATACTTCAAAATTCTTATTTCAAATAAATGAATTTGCCTTGACGCAAGCAGAAGAAACATGCTGTGTGGCCTACTAGGCAAAAATAAGTTCATATAATTAGGTGGAAGACTGCATTTCGTTCTTTATATTGTAGTAAGTGAGAGTGAATTTCGCATTGTAACACCCTGTTCACCCTGTTCACAGACGTGCTAGAGTGAAAAGGATTCGAAGTAAATTTTCAGCCTATAAACTGTTTCTTTTCAAATGCCAAGTTATACCATTTAAATCTATCACACTGTATGCAACAATTTGCAAACATTTTCATTACAAAATGTTAACAAATTTTTCCAGAAACTTAACGTTACTCGAACTGTGCTCAGATCAACGATACTTAGTCACTTTCTACAGGTATCACAAAGTTTTATTTGGAAACACCCAGTTGGTTTTAAACCAGTAACGTAAAATTTTCCACCTTGAATATTTCACTATGACTTCATTTTATACATAGTTGAATCACCAGACTAATTTGTTACTTTCATCCTCCAGATTTGGCAGCACATAGATATAACTTAAGTCCTCCTCACATGTTCTAGAAAGTGAACAGTAATGCTGACTTTCATTCCTTGGTCATCGGTCGGCGAATATGTACTAGCTCTTGGTGATATTGTTACGAACTCTATTACCTATACTCGTAAAACACCAACAATTGAAATTTTATCCTATTTCAAGCATTTAATAGATTCGAAGGATTTATATCATGGAACAAACAAAGTGTTGGATAAGAATGATGATCCAAATTCCAAAGGAGGAGTACCAATGTCAGAAAAATCAAATGATCGATCAAACGAGATGCCTTCTATACCACAGGTGAGTTGCACGTTTTCTTTTTTTACAGCTTGATTCCACACTGTATTTTTGGTACAAGTATGGAATTTTCAGCATGGATATCGGTAGCCCAAATTTTGCAGGACTAAATAAAAGAGCTTCCGATTAAATTCAGCATACTATGGATACCACTGAAGAAACTAAGGCTTTTAAGTTGATAAGTAAAAAACTTGAGCAACCAAACATTTTGGATAGCTTGAGAAAAGTATAAATTTCTTAAGTTAGGATGCCGAAATCGCCAAACAGGAATGTGTCTCTATTGTTAGATCTATGTTTCACTTAGGGAATCTTAACACTACAGTCATGAAATTTTTCCAATAAATAAAGCTGCCAATATTTCAAACACCGAGAACACATTCGAATCAGCTGTTTGTTATCAGAATGCACTGATTTTCTGTTACCGTGATGTAAGTAAAATTTGGAATCATGTCATAGTATTCACGAAACTTCCCAGCCTACTTTATATAATTGCATTATTTTCTCTTATTCGCCGGTTATCTATAGATACCATGAGCAAACATTCATACATAACTACTTAAATTAATATGATATAAGGGTAAAACTTTGGCGCTTTGGTACAGTATAATTCCATTATGGATAAAATTTATTTTGGTAAAATCATACAGTGTTATGTAGTGATATTTACTGATGAAGTTTGGAGCACAATTTATTGCCCATAATCATGTGAATATACTCACACAAATTCCATGCTTCGCTAAACAAAATATTGTAATTTACAAAATACCTTGCAATGACTGTGGGTCAAGTCAACTGCATATAGGTCAAACTGGTAGATGGGAAATAATCAGATTATCAGAACATAAGGGTTTAGCTAAGGTTAGCATGACTGACCCGGAGAAGATAAGTAATTTGGAAAAGACTCAGTGATCGCACTGTATGCATTAGCATACAACCAAACAATGGGGTGGGACAGAGTCAAAATTGTAAAAAGTAATATAGGTAGGTGGGGAAATTGATTACTGCATGCAATAGAAGTGACCCAACGCAAATACCAGAGATATGGAAGATATTATCACTAGTCACATTACGGGACAATAAATAATGTTGAAATTTATTTCAGTTCACATTAGAACACTGTTTCACGCATGTCTTATATTGATTTTATTCATATATCTAATCAATTTTTACTCATGTATATAAACGAAGCAAGAAAATTATGCGAATACTTTGATATGATTATGAGCGATAAATTGGGCTCGAAACGTCGTCAGCAAATATTACTATACAAGACTGTGTAACTTAATCAAAATAAATTTTATCCATAATGGAATCAAATTAATATGAATTTACAATTTGGTTATATTGGGCAATAAGTTTATTATTCTAAAAATCATTTATGCCGAAATTAGAAACTGCAGAAATAGACAGTCAGTCATTTTCATGGTATTCTACTATGCTATACTTAAGACAGTTTAAAATATTAATGTTCAAGTTATTAATATTTAATACAATAAATTACTATCAAAAAAGTTATTATTTTCTATTACTACTAAACAATAAATCCTGATGACTTGTCTTTGAGCCAATTAATTCCATGCTTGAATACAATATACTTAAACTTCTAGTCACTATTAATGAATATAGGTTTTCGTGTTTATCGGTCTTATCTTAATAACTTAATTTAATTACTACTCATAAGCATTTCGTGTGAAATTCACACTGCTTCAAGCTTCTCTTTAAGTCTATGTTTGAATGATCACCTCTTAAAATAATACTCTTATTTTATAGTTTGGTTTCACCTTTTTTTTATATCAGAAATCTTTTGGTTTATTGACAACTATCAAATGTCAAAGTCCGAAATCAGTGAATTCAGTAACTGTACTTGTATATTGGAGGAATCACGTGAACCTTTGGATGAGAAGACTTCTGCTACCACACTGTCCTTATCACCACTACAAGATAATTTCGTAGTAAATAATGAACAATCATCAGGCAGTTCTGTTAATCAACCTTTATTTGTCGGTGGTTTCATTAATAAGGTTTGTTAGTTGTCTTGTATAGATTTTTTTTAACGAGTGAAAGATTACTCACACACAGAATTATGTGCATACATGAACAGATCCGTTCGGTCAATTTCATTTTTCTGAAATTCAAAATTCAGAATGTTGTGACAATATTATTCATCTCCATTGTCTCTTGAGTAGTTTAGCGTACGACTGAAATAAATTTTTTTTCAAAAAGTAATCGCAAATTATTGTGGACAACATCTATTTTATTCAGTTTTACACACATTTCAAAAATTCAAAACACGTAGATAACATCTGTTATGTAATTGACTGCTCTGACTCATTCTCAAGAGAAACTTTTCGATCCACTTATACTTATTTTTAATCATATTTTTGTTTGTTTTATTTCCTTTACGTCCCCAGTGGAACATAGGGCTTCAAGCTAGAGGCTTGGAGTCTCTGTAGCAGTGGTATTTATTTTTATGGGATGGGTTCGCTAGCCTCACGTCCAACCTTCCCACTTTATCGGTTTTATCACTGGCTTAGAGAGGTAAAAGAGTGCGTCGACCGTGCATCGAACCCCGAACCACATGAGGCGTGGTTGGCAAGCATTCCACCGCTGTGCGACCGACGCACTTGGGAACAGTTAGATCCAGGTCAATGGAACTAGTGGATAATCAGAAAAATGAATAACGAAATAATCATAATAGCACGTAAAATGATATCTGCTCAAGTTTCAGAAAACATATTCGTCTTTATATTCTTAGTGATTTGTATTTAATGTACTTGAGACTGTCTGGAAAATCAGAATTGAATTCACGCCAAAATGAAGCCTATTATAAGTCAAATATGTATCGGCGAGACATTTGAATTACTTCTAGAAATATATTTTAAGTGAACCTATTGTTTCTAAGGTATATTCAACTCATTATTAGTTGTAATCCTTAAACCAGCATGGAAGGTTAATCATAATTGCAGGCACAGAAAGATCTAGGTTCAGTAAAACACGATACAACCATAAAACAAGTAAATTAAAGAGTTGGCCTATAAATAATAAGCATAAGCGATGAGCTAGAGCCCAGCTGTTTCCTACACTGTGTATCTTATGCTTTATTTCGTTGTTGAATTGACGGAAAATGCATGGGGGCTTCTGACTTCAGTAATAGTTCTTATCTGATTAGATTGACACAGTTTTATTTTAATTCTACCTATTACGTATAAAAGTGTTCAATGATGTTAGTTGTACCAAGTTGCAAGGTCCCCTATACTACCGGTTAACTTATACGAGTAGGGCTTACTTGACTTAAACGTCAGACAGCTTTTAACTTGTTCGAGGCTGAACTCATCAGCGCTGTACCCAGTTTGACTCAGCTAATATAGCCGAGTCAGTTGTATCAGGCAGTTGCATTAGACAATATATTTTTAAAAATCCTGAACTATAGAGATTGACAGTCTAATCTATAGCAGATACTCAACATTTTATGGTGGTTCTTGAATTCATATATTCATTTATGTTGGATTTAGTTTTTGAAATATGAAAAGAACCCATAATTTCTGTCTAAATTAACCCATTTGTTTATTCTAAATAGTGATAAAACTTTGAAAACTTCACAGTTCACTCATGAGATAGTTGTTTATTATATACACCAAGTAACTCTTAGTTGTCGAACAAGACGCTAATTCAAACACCGTCTGCACCAGATGCAGGAATCGATAATTAGGCATTTTTTTATTATTTCCTTCACGCTCCCAGTGGAACATAGGGCTTCAAGCTAGAGGCTTGAAGTTTCTGTAGCAGTGTTTATGTATACAGGATGGGGGTGCTAGACTCATGTCCAACCTTCCCTCTTTACCAGTCTTATTACTGGCTAAGCGAGGCAAAGGAGTGCATCGGCCGGGGATCGAACCCCGGACCATGTGCATGGTCGGCGAGCATGCTAACCGCTGTGCCATCAACGCACAAACATAAGGTTCGTGGTTTAAAATATGTGAGTCTATGAATAACAATCATAAATTATATGAAACATTTCAATAAATTTACCCTTTATTAGTACAGTTTTTGCGAAAGCTACTGTTTAGAAGTCAATTTATATATTTAATTTTCAATAAGTAGTTTTTGAAGATAGTTGTCTACTCAAGTAGGATTTTACAAGTGTTGAAATATCCTGTTTTAAATAGGTGGATGTGAAATTATTGATTGCTTTAGAATGAATATACAGATATTTTTCCCACGTTCAGCTAGTTCTGCATCTGAGATTACATGGTGCAGAATTCAAATTCAATTCACTTATACGAATATAGTCACGATATAGCGTGTCATCGGTAAGTATTTCTCCTCATACCCAAATAACTACCTACTTCAATAGGGCCAGCATCAGATCAAGTGTTGGCTTGCAAGGATTCATTTGGTTACATGATTGATCACAAGCTGACATCAGTTAGAGAACCATGGGAAAACCTGAGAATACTGGATAACTGTTTCCTTCTAGTACGCATTCACAGTGGTTTGAATTTAGGATCTATTCAGGTAGGTAGTTACCTTGGTTCTAGTGGGAGGTCGTGGTTAGTGGGGTACAGCAGGTCGGGTGTGAGGACAAATAGTAGTCTATCACACTGGCTAGTGGTGGCGCTATATCGTGAATTGCAGAACTTGGAATTTATGGGCTGACCATTGGATAGGGTCCCAGTGGCTTAATCGTTTACGAGCTCGCCTTGTAACAGAAAGGTCCTGGATTCAAACAATAGTGGGTGCGTACTGTGAGGAGTCCTGAAGTAGGACGAAATGACTGCCCACTACTCCAGGCTTTCTAATGGTTCTTTAACCAATGTCAGTTGATGATACAATCCCATATGAATATATACTAAGTGGTATTCTTTGAATTGTTCTCAATCCGGAAAGTGTCATATATTGGTTAGATTACAACTCGTCTCTTGTTACTGAATTGTGACAGAAAATAATTGGTTATATCCTTTATAAAATAGTTCATGAAATTTATGAATTTCAAACAGATGTGGAAATAATAAGGCTAGTAATTACTAAATAGATTATACAACAACCCGATAACTATGAACGAAATATTACCCTATTCAGTCATGAGAAAAAGACGTAAACAGCTGTACAGTCGTAATTATATTTAAACACAGAATTTATACGGCCAATCAGATACTGGTAAAATTTGTCCGATTAGTTTTTACCACAAGTAGCTGTTTTCAAAAACTACCGCAATTTACCATTCGTTCCATACTGATGTTATACACTGGTTTTGACCAGAAATAAGTGTTTAACTAAAAAATAAATATCTGTGAAGACCAACCATGTACCCAGCTTGTGTTTAATTTTTCTTAAGAAATATAATATAGTTTTGTAATTCAGACCAAATATCATAAGGGCTAGCAAGCAAGAAACTTAGGATAAGTATGAATTTCTAGGAACTAACATAGAAATACTTTTTATAGTTCAACACCTGCACTACACACTTTCTCAAAATTATTTGTAGAATTGCATGTTATGGAAGATTCAGATATACATAGCTTACTCAAATTTACTTCATAAGCCTGCATCATTTAATTTATCAAAGTAAGTTTACATTCTACAAGTTATATTAAGGCACTAATTTTAGTATAAAAAGTTGGGTCTTGACTAAGATACATGCTCATATTATATCGTAAACACAATAATAAAATTGTGAGTTATTGTATTATGAAGATGATTTTGACGCAAACGATTTGGAGAAGTTTCAGCTGAATTCTAGGTTTCTAAAGGACTCTGTAAATGCATTCTCGAAAATAACCAATTTTGATTATAAACCAGTGATTAAAATTATTTATCTTTGTCAATGTTAATACAGATTACTGAGGTTAATAATGAACAGTCAGACTGCTCTTCAGGACTTACGAAAACATGCACACGCAAACCGTTGGATTCAAAGGGTGAAGAACCTCATTCAAAGGATACAACTTCAAATAAACTTTTACCTTATCTTACGTCTACTCAGGTCAGTAGTCATCACATTTTCCCGCAACATTTGCGTGGATTTTATCAAAGTCCTCAAAAGACACTTGTTTCAGATGATGTAAATGTACACAACTCTGATAACCTTTCTTCAGGGATGAATGTGTCATCAATTTCACCATTAATGACGAATAGTCAAACTAATAGTAAACACGATATTCGCCCTGTTTTACAATCTTCAAATTTTCCTGCTTCCACATCTATCTCATTCCAATCATGGATGGCACAAACAAGCGCGTCCAATGCAAGTAATTCCTCTAAGTAAGTATTGATTGAGACGTTGTTAAAACTTAGACCGGATTACATTTCCCTATTCAACTTGTTAAGTTACAGCTCAAAATTTGACTGTTACGCGTTCTTTATATTGTTATCAATTTGTGTAGCTTCTTTTGAGAATTTAAGATCACGTTTATGAATTTTACAAAAATTTAAAAGTTTATTCTGATGGCCCAAAACGGTAGATATCTGCTCGAAAAGAATTACATTTTTTTGCTGTTGGTGTTTCTTTTAGAGTCATTTTAATTGTTAAGTGCTGCTTTATTTTATTTTTTGACTACAGCTTGATTCCACTCTGTATTTTTGGTACAAGTATGGAATTTTCAGCATGGATATCGGTAGCCCAAATTTTGCAGGCCGACCATAGATATCAGGTGTGCATTGGCAGGGGATCGAACCTCGGACCATGTGCATGGTCGGCGACAGTCCTAACCACTGTGCCACCGACGCAGTAGGAAATGAATGTAGTGCTTTTCTTAATAACATAAACAGGATATGTCTAAGGGATCAAATAGCATGCTGATGTTACATCAACTTCAAGATTGACATGACTATGAACAATAAATTGTTCTAAATGTGATCTAGCAGATGATACTATTTCATTGTGTAATATATACAATAAACAAATTATTATGCAATCACACTAGTCTGATTCTCTTATTGTTAGTTTTTTACTGAAGTTTGTTAACTATGAAAGCGTGTCATTAATTAGTTCAAAATGTATTCCTCAAAAACACCACATTTCTGATAAGAATTCTTCTTTTACCAATACTTCTGCATTCAGGCGATGTTATCGACGAAGTTCCGACCAAATGCATACAGTCTTTTTATCAGTATGAAAGTGTAGTATGGGCACTTTGGTTATCAGTAACTCCATACCAACTTATTTGTCCAATATTTTCCACATGCTGAAACCGAATTGTTTGCTGGATGGCGGAGTCGTAATTTTATCGTTCTCAATTCTGACACCATAAAAGCTGTTTTTTTGTCAGTTATTTGGCGTTAATAGTCGCCAAGTTTGGTATCGAAGAAATAGAAGTAAAATATAGTTTTGAGTTGCCTGGAAACTTTGAAAGAAGAAACCGGTTACCGTTGGGCTGAGATCTTAGTTTATATTTTATACAGTGCAAAACGTGTTTACTTTCAGTATATCTTTGAATGCAAAGAATTTAAACTTTGTAATGCATCTTTGTAAGAAACACAGGACTGGAAATTTGTTTACAAATTCCAAATATTAGCGAAGAATATTTACAAGACTTTATAATTTTCCCAAGTAATAAATAAAAGACGTTTTGCTCCAAATTCTCTTTGAAATATTTCTAATATCGAGTGATACTTTTTTTGACTAAATTAGAATGGATATCGCTTTTGGGCAGACAGTAAATTTGATGACATATTTAAATATGCGCATGTCATTTTCCTCTTTTTAGGGATTCGAAATCTCGACGATACTATCAACCACCTAATCACAGAAGATCTACATTTTCTCTACAGTTCCCAATGAATATTAGTCATGCGACTTCTCAGCCTATTTCGACTTCACTAAGCAATCACTATCATCATAGTCATAATCATCATTTCTCTGTTCTACATCCAATAGGTGTTATGCCTTCACCAAACATGTTTGACTTTAATCATGAACAATCTCATTTTGAACAGAATGATGCACGCAGCTTTAATGGACATTTATACTTTTCCTCACGGTCACCATTACAAAGCTTGTCTCAACAAAATGTTTTTAAAAAGTCACTTATGTCGACTAATACAACCAGTACAAGTAAACAAGAGAATACATACTCGTTCACTGGTAATCAACATTCAATAAGTCCTCAGATTCTCCCAGTTGTCACGTGTTCCGCATATTCAGCAAACCAATATGGTACAAACACGAAGTCAAATATCAGCAATACTACTTCCAATCATAATCAATTTCCCTTATCCAGACTACGTAATTCCGACAGTGAGTTCAGAACTAATTTGTGTGCTTTTGTATGCCCTATACTATGGTAGGTATAAATTTAAAAGTAAAGAAACGTTATTCTGATAAGCAGAAGTATCACAGGAGTGGTAATATTGAAAAGGTTGAAGACAAAGACTTGGTAACGGAATGTTTATGTGGAAATTGGTATATATGTCCAAACCAAGTTAACTTTTAACAGTTTGAAAAAATTGGGCTTGGATATATGATATTCATTATAACAAAGGTTTTTTTATTTTCCAATGAATGAAAACCAAAACGATTTTGTTTTTCCTGACGTTTCACTATTTAATGCTGATGGCTTCATCAAAGTATTATTAAATCAGAATTTATAAAATCTCAGTTCACATATAACGACTTTATCATCGCTTCTCAGCATGGGGCTTTTTGCGTTGTCAAGTTGGCCAATTGGTAAAGATAATAAAACTAGGTGTAGATTGTTCGATTTCATAAGTGTGTAAAATTATAAAATCAGCATGTGTTTACACAATGAAATTGCTTATCACATTCGTGTTGATCCTGTCATTACATAGGGAGGGAAGAGTTGTAACCAGGTCAAATTCTGTTTGAGTCCACCATTCCTATTCAGAAAATTTGGATTCCATCTGACATAAAGTGCTTCTGATATTAGACGTTCTTTGTGATTTCTGAAATTTTTCTGGATTATTTCAATATTGTCAAAATCAATTTTATGGCCTGATTCTATAGCATGTAGACGAGCTATGGCCTTTCTAGTTCAAGTGAATTCATTTTTCAGTGGTTGAACATATGCTCTACGGTGTTCATTTCTACTGATTTCGATTTCTCGAGATGTTTGCTTGATGTATATCGCATCATATTCCAAGCATTTTGTAGACACATTTTATTTTATAGACATAAATAGATAGAGAATCTACAGGGATTCGGTCTTTTTTATATGGGCAAGGCTGTTTCTCAGTGTGTCTGACGTCCTAAAGAAAACTCTAATGTCGAGCTTCTTGAGTACTCTTGTGATATTGTCTGATGTCTCCGCTTTATATGGAATGACAACTGTTGAAACCTATATTTTTGGAACACGTTTTCAGCCATACTTAATGTCAGTGTTGATTCTGTTAATAAATTTCTTTGGGTAGTTATTTTGCTTGCGAGTCTCAGTAATGTTTGATATTTCTTCTTCTTTTTCCTTCTCGTCCGTTATCAAAGAGTGCGCTCTTCTAACAAGACTTGAAGCAACTGATACCTATGGGCTGATAGGATGTGATGATCCGAAGTCTAAATATTTGTTGGAGTGGGTTTTCTTTCTGAATACAGATATACCAAAATGTCCGTTTTCCCTCTTCTTAACTAGGCAGTCTAGAAATGATAGTTCACCGACGTCTGATTCTGCTTCCGAAGTAAACTTGATTCTGGGAGATAGATTGTTGAATTTCTCCAAGAATAAAATGTGTAGATCTCGTGTTAGCACTACAAAAGTATCATCTGCATATCTTAACCATATTTCAGGAGTGAGTATGCTTGAGAAGATGTTATCTTCGAATCTATTCATGATTCCCCATGTAATGACAGGATCAACACGAATGTGATAAGCAATTTCATTATGTAAACACATGCTGATTTTATAATTTTACACACTTATGAAATCGAACAATCTACACCTGGTTTTATTATCTTTACCAATTGGCCAACTTGACAACGCAAAAAGCCCCATGCTGAGAAGCGATGATAAAGTCGTTATATGTGAACTGAGATTTTATAAATTCTGATTTAATAATACTTTGATGAAGCCATCAGCATTAAATAGCGAAACATCAGGAAAAACAATATCGTTTCGTGGTAGTGTCTATATGTAGCTAAATTATGTGTACCTTATCTTCAACGCACCATTTGCACAGATCTTCGTGTTGTGGTACTTCTGGACTTCAAGTTGTGTTTCTTTTTGTTCCTTTCACGTCTCCCATGTATCTCCACAACGCTGTATTATTTGCCGACTCTGAAATCAAACATGTCTCCCTGCTATTTGATGTTCCTTTGCCGATGAACTTATCTTTTATATACTGTTGATAGTAGCACTCACCACAGTATGAACAGTGTTTGTCTGAAGCTATTATGCAGTTAATGTTCTTGGAATTCTGACTAAAAAATAAAGGTTTTTATAACATCTAAATTTGAATAGAGCAATAATATCAAATAGAACTGGATAAAAACGCATTCATTTCATTGGTATTTTTCAACCATATGTTTCCCTGTGTTGTTTACTAACACTTTCTAATTACCTACGCAATCCTATAATTTATATCCCTCAATATCTTCATACTTCCCGTACCACTTTTTCGAAACACTAATCACATGATAGCAACGATTTATTATAATTTATATACATATATACTATGATTACTCTGAACTATGCTTCAATGACTGTCTCTCCAATGAAGTAAAGGAAGCTAGAATTGCAATAAAACTGAGTATTTTCATTATCAAAGATGTAAGCAGTTGAAAAAATACTGTCGAAATAAATTGGATACGTTTTATCCAGCTCCATATTGTTTGTAGAAATTACTTAAATCTTTGTGTCAAATTTCTTGAGAATTTGTGATGTCGAAGATTTGCAGATTAGTATGAAGTTAGGAATTTTCGGCTAACATCTAACATTTGACATTTGATGATGAGTTTCTCATCACCACACTTGATAATACTTTCATCAGCAATAATTCCAATTATACGTCTCCAATTATTTTAGAAATATTTTCAACAACAGTTAACATTATATCATTTCATCACACTACTAGAGTATAACTATTCTCATAAAATTCATGGGAAACGTCTAAATTCATGAGGGGCATCCGTACAGCCGGTCAGTCAAGGTTACTGATACCAGTAATTTCATTTTAATTCCAATGAAATCCATAGCAGAAATACCCATCTTTGATCGTCAATTGAATTCAGTAAGAAAACCAGTGAGTACTGGATAGCTGTTTCGTTCTAGTTTGGAACTCTCCGACACTACACACCAGGGCCCTTCAGGTTAAGAGGCTGGCAGGTTAACTATTCCAGACAACAAGACGAAATCTCATGGTTCATGAATTTAAACTTCTGATAATGTTCATTAATGGCTGAGTAAAACATGAAGTTGGTTAAAGTTCTAGTAAGAAATCATCACCAGCAGGGTCTACAAATTTAGTTGTAAGGACAAATACCTGCAAGTGACAAGGGCTGGCAATTGCGCTGCATATATCAAATAATTCTCGGGTATCGCACGACACGCTTGTGTTCTAATTCCCAGTGACTGAAATGTCAACAGGCTGGCCTGTTAACCTGAAGGTTCCATCTTGAATCCTCTCTGGGGTCATGGATACGTATTTCTGCATAGTTCATAACACTTATCCAATAGTATCTGATTTTCACTGATTCTCTAACTGAAATCAGTTCGTGATCAAACTTTAAATTTATCAGATCCAAGAAAACCGACACTTCAGAATATAGTCAAATAATTCGATGTAAACACAAACATGAAATAACACTACATTCATTATCTACAGTGGTGACAACTTTGTATACATTAATCACAGAAGGATGTACAATACTCTGTTTTTTCCTTCATTATTAAAAAATATCCTTTGGATAAAGTTCACAGTATAACATAGTAACACATTAACTTGCTGATAGCTTTGAATTATGTCTTAAAGTTTCCTTCCATTTTATCAATTTAAATTTGTGAAAATGTCAAATTTCAATCAACTAAATGTATCAGAATTTGTTGTTGTATCAGCCTGTATAGGATAACTGCACTTTAAAAGTGCGACAGTATTTGATTGATTTTTTTATTGTTAAGTATTGGATATTATATTTTCTCTGAATACATAGATATTGTTTAACTTGCATAGGTATACATTACTTGCTCTAAAACTATTTTCAGTTTTACATACTTTCACCTTAGAAAAAAGGATATCCAGATGGAAACTAAACTCTACACTGGTTTCGTTGATTATCAGAGTCTTCAGTGTCATACTAGTCATTATATTTAGTTTATTTTACTGTTTAGTGCACACCTACCTGGATATTACTTTAGATATTCTTAAAAGATCTTTACAAAAACCCTTAACTTTTATTTCAGAATTTTGGCTTGGCAGCTTACCCAGAAGATGAGTCATCAACATAAGTTCCTTTGAAGACATAAGGAAGTAGTTGAATTTCGTCTACTTGAAAATGAAAATTTAGAATATTCCTTCAGTTAGTCGTCAAAAGTTCCAAATATTATGAAATTGTTGTCCCTGTTTCGATGGCTTTTGGTTACCTGACTTCGATAAGCATAAGTACAAACAATTTCTTGATCCAAAAGACCCTTTTTTAATAATTAACTTATTGTGTGTAAACAGAGTAAATAAGTAATTTCCTGACAATTTTAGATATTTTTTCACGCTTGTTACAAACACAATCTCTAAATCATTATTGTTGTAATAATTTTCATTATCAAAATATATCTAGCTCTTCCTACAATAAAACAAAACAGCATACAACTGACTACGTTCTCCAATTCATAATTTCGAAAGTATTTTGCAATTTATACAGTGGTTTACACACTGGGGGAAATTAGTGGTATAAATCTACGCATCTCAGTCAATCGGTAGTATATAATTTCACCACTACGTTCTGATTTTACTGCCTGCTTTCTCTTAAATTTTAATGAAATACGCTAAGAATGAATTTGACCCTTATTTGATCACTATGTCTTAGTAGACAGACCGTAATGACCCAGCTATATATATAATAACAGTGTGATCAGTGTGGCTTTTTGAGAGCTTTGTGATGAAAGCCTGAGAAGTGGGAAACGCCTGATCATTAAATAATGCCTGTCTAAGACCGTTAATGAGGCTATCAGTAGCAAGGAAGATATATCTGAAGAACAGACTGGTAAAACGTTGTTGAGAATACCTCATGGAGTCTACCTGTACCCACACTAAACCTTTCTATTATCAAGCTCTAATCTGAGTACTACACAGTCACCAGTCTACTAGTGAAGTTATTGTTGCAAAACCTGAGAGGTGGAATGCGATAGTTTGACTCCAGAATTATTTTTTGGCTAGTAATTCTTGATAGAAATTAAAAACTATGATTATTATGATGTATTCAGTATATGGGAGTCAGAGATACTTGTGTCGAGTTAGTTCAGATCTTTGATTATTCCAGTTTACAAGGTAATGAAATAAATCGTCTCTCTTGAACGAGGTAAGTCCTATTCATTGCTTTCATGTGGTGTGAGTGTTACCCACCAAAGTGAAAGGGTGAATGCGAATGTCCGACACCTACAACCGAATTCACGGAAATGCTGATCTGACTGTGGAAGCTAGAAAACGCCGATTCCAAACATATGGTGTTTATGGGCTCCAGAATCAGGAAGGCTGGAATGACATTTGAACCTGTTTTGGTCATGGCAACCGCTCAAGACACTGCTCCACTGCCATTTGAATCAGACTTCAAGTTTAAGGCTAAGGAAGCTACCTCTTAAGGCAACTACCTCTTTGGGTCTGCGTGTCCGGGCAGTATCACAGCTTACAAAAGAACTATGAGATTTCGTGTGAAGCATCTCTTGATATATATATTATTTACCAATTTCATGTTCTGATCAAAATATAAAATAATAGAACAAAAGGATGATCAGCATGACTAATGTAGAATATGAGACCATAGAATTACAGAATCTTGATATGAAAAAGATGAAGCAGACATCAAGTCTATATGAAGGTATACTGATCAAATCTCAAACATTTGACGGGTTATGGAGAGCAAATATATTGGCATTTCACACTTTCCATTGATCTAAATCCGTAAGATGCATTCGGGTCTTTAAATTTTAAGGTATTTTGGTAATCTGTAGCGGTCAAAAGAATCCTGAGAAAGTTTGCCGTACTCATCGCAGCACTCTACTCCAGCTTTTAAAGTTGTTTAGAAGATCAAGCCGGCTTGGAATGCAAAGTGACTATAACAAAAGATGTATGCCACAGATGCCCATTCTTGTTGTTCTTTTTTTATATTGGAATGAACATGCCGATTAGGTGTTTGACTGTTTAAATGAGACACCTTCCGACCTGCAAATACTCTTCTGGCCTGAAAGTCAATACCAGTTTTTCGGACAGATTTTGTTAAATCAGTGCAATGAACTCTTGGGTTGGCAAAATTTCTCAACATTTTTAAACACCTAATATCGCTCAGTTTGACACTGCACTTTGGCAGTATCAATTGTTCCACACATCAGAAAATAAGGAAAAACGAAATTTTTTCCCTCAAATTGAAAATGAACTGTGGAATCTATGTTTAATTCTTAATATAGTATACAAATACATGAATGTGATATAAATGACCAAATATTATAATTAGCATGCTAATGATTTTTGAAATATAGTACATATGACTTCTGTATGGACACGATTGTTTAGCAGTACATACAAATATTGGTGACTTGAAATAGTTCCAGAGAATGAAGAAAAACCATATTATTTTCCCCGGTGAGCAGGATTATTGATGGTACCCAAAAACTGTTTCTGTGTGAGAAACCAAATACTTAAATTAGCTGTAAATGGAGTAAAACTCAGTCTTAAAATCACCATCTTAAATTCCATTGCTTAAAACAATAATTTCTGAGTAAAAGGACTAGAAGAGACATACTTGTAAAACACTTACTTATGATATCAGATATAGATGCTTTCTGTGATTTGAAGTATATCTGTAACACTTAACGAAAGCGGATTCCTTCCAATAACATCTTTGACATTCACTGAGTGACTTTCTGAAGATCAATTTTTTCGAAGTAGTAAACGACCTTTAAAAGTTTATGCGTCTTCGTATCCACGAACATAAGCTAGCCGTCAAAAGACATGATATACACTCCCTCATTTCACTACACACAGACAACCACGGACATCAATTCGACTGGGACAACGTTCAAATATTAGACAAAGGAAATAACAAGAATGCTAGAGAATTTTTAGAAGCTTGGCATTCCAGTGAATCATCAATCAATAGACACATCGAGATAGACAAAATTTATCAACCAATAAGAAAGAAACTTCACACACGATTGGCCAAAGTTCAAGTCACAGAAACAATCAGTTCCAACACAAGTAACCTAGAAGGTGTGAAAACATACATAAACAACCAATCACGTCCAAGGTCACCAGGAGGAATGATTAATAAACTCGTGGAGAAACCTAAAAGCTCACTTCAATTTGAAGTATGCGCTGAAGATGTCACCCAGTAAGGTGATGAAAGCTTCGCAAACTAACTATCCAGCTCAGAGAACAAAACCACATCAAAATTATCCACCTGAGCTACAAATCTTCTCTATCATATCTAAATCTTACGAGCGGGATACGCTTCTCTCTGTTCGAAAGTGGGAAGACTTCGCCAAAAGGCAAGGATCCACCAGAGAACAATTATTCTTTCTCCATGAGTGCCTTCGTCATTCAATCCTACCAAACAGTGTAAGATACAAGCCACCAGTCAACTGCCCAATGGGATGGAAATTGGCCGAACAATGTGGAAGACGAATGGTCAAATTAATGATTACGGACGCACATTATCGGATCAACAAATATCAACAAATAATAGATGTCCAAAAAGCAAAATTAGAGAAAACCCTCAACCAAGAACACCTGTCAACGCTGATCACCGCAATTTCACTGTCAAGTGGAAAACACAGAGAACAAAGACGAAGAGTCCTCAAAACCAAGCTAGCCAAGATTAGAAAACAACAACCAGACAATACGCCCATAGACTGCGTAGTCAACCTATCAAAACAACCACTATCAAAAATGGAACAACAACTACTACAAAAAGGATTAAACTACAACACCGGAGATGCTTCAAAAACTGATTTCTTCGCTGCCCTTGAATCATTACTCAAATCATCAAACTTGAACGAGGAAACACAGGAAGAGATACGCCAAACAATTGTACCAATGGTCAAACAGAAAAGACAACACACACAACTCAACTCTCAAGAACTAAAGGCCCTCAAAAAGCTGAAAAATAGGAAGGACATCGTCATTTTACCAGCCGACAAAGGAAGAACAACAGTAGTCATGGACAGAGAAGAATACACCAAGAAAGCTGAAGAACTACTCAAAGATGAAGATGTATATCAACAACTCCCAACAAATCCCATACAAACATTGGACAACCGCATCCAAAGGACCTTAAACAAGCTCAGCAAAACTGGACAGATCACAAAACAAGACCAATGGCGAATGAAATCCAATGGACCAGTCCTACCTCGATTCTACGGCAGACCCAAAATACACAAGGCAAATATCCCGTTACGACCAATTGTATCACTCCCAGGAACTCCAACATATAATTTGTCCAAGGAATTATACAGAAAACTAAAACACCTAACGGAATCCTGTGATCACTCCATCAACTCTGCTATCCAATTCCTAGAGAAAATCAGAGACATCCAAATAGATGAACAAGAAATAATGGTATCCTTCGACGTGACAGCATTATATACCTCTATCGGACAAAAACTAGCAAAAGAAACCATGGAGCAATTACTTAGCAACGACGAACAACTTCCACAACAATCAAAAATGCAACACACAAGCTGGATGGAATGCATAAATCTATGCCTAACAACATACTTCCAATTCAACGGCCAAATATATGAACAAGTCAAAGGAACACCCATGGGATCGCCAATATCAGGTTTGATTGCAGAAGCAGTGATGCAAAGACTCGAAAACATAATTCTACCAAAGATCAAACCCAAGATTTGGATACGCTACGTCGACGACACATTTGTAATAATCAAAAGAAACGAATTAGACAAAACTCACAACTTAATAAACAACGTCTTCAACGACATCAAATTCACAAGAGAAGAGGAATCCGAGAACAAAATACCATTTTTGGACGTCTTAGTCAGGCGAACAACTACAGGAGAATTAGAAACTCAAGTTTATAGGAAATCAACTCACACAGACCAAATACTGAATTACAACAGCAACAACCCAATAGCACACAAAAGGAACTGCATACAAACACTATTCAAGAGAGCAAGGACTCACTGCAGCACTCCCACCTTAAGAAAAATTGAAGAAAAGTATCTCATGGACGTCTTCCAAACGAATGGATATCCCCGGAATTTCAGTGAAGTGATAGAACATGTTGACCACTTCACCTACTTGGGAAGTTGTATCAGCACCAACGGACTGATTGGCGATGAAATCTCAGCACGAATCCGAAAAGCTCGAGCTGCTTTCGCTGACTTACACCATCTCTGGCGTAGGCGTGACATCCGGTTATCAACCAAGGGACGTGTGTACTGCTCAGCAGTTCGCTCCGTCCTTCTCTATGGCTCTGAAACATGGCCAATACGCGCTGAAGACATGAAAAGGTTGACTGCTTTCGATCATAGATGTCTGCGATCTCTGTCTCACGTTAGGTGGTTTCACAAGATAAGTAATGTTGACGTTAGGCGTAGAGTGTTGGGCAAAGAGGGAAAATCAATCGACGAGGCTATAAAGTTACTTAGACTAAGATGGCTAGGTCGCGTGGTGCGCATGCCTAACCACCGCCTCCCCCGACGGGCATTGTTAGCTGATA